CCTGCAGCAGTGGGTGCACCGAAGCCAACTTCATTGGTTTCAAAAAAAAAAAAAAAACCAAATAACTAACTTCCTCCAATGCTTCTAAAAAGCACAAAGAAAAAAGGAAACACCTGATGGAGAAAGAATCCAAAAGGGCTAAAAAGTCAGGCAAGCATAAGGCCACGAAGAAATCCAGGCACCTTTCACCAGAGATCTCCCAGGTCCCCCGTCCAGCACTCTGACCACCACACCAGTGCCCATGCCTGCTCCATGCCTAGGGCCAGCAATGCAGGCACAGCTGAGCAATCCCCAGGTGTGGAGGGGTTCCGATTTGTCAGGCGCTGGGGAACATGTTAGTTCAGGCCAGGCCTGTTCAAGAGGCCTTTTAAAAGAGCCAGCATAGTGTAGTGGTGAAGAGCGCAGGACTGGGACTCAGGCAATCTGCGTTCTGGTTCCTGCTCAGCCATAGAACCAGCTGAGTGACTTTGGCCCAACCACGGCTCTGAGCCCAACCACCTCACAGGGTTGTTGTTATGGGGATAAGATTGAGAGCAGGAAGAAGAGAATGATGTGAGCAGCTTGTAAATGAAATGATAAAGTGGGCCCCATTTGGTAGAAAATGGAAGCAGGCTGTTGGTACAAAGTGTAAGGACGACAGAACAGTTTTTAAACTGAAATCCTGGAAGAAAGTTGACAGGAGCTGAGAAGCATCTAATTTGGGTGAGATCATCCCAAGCCGATGTAGATGGAAAAGCTTCTGGTTGCCCAAAGGTTGGGAGAGGAGAAAAATAGGCCACGAGAATATGGTGAAATATGATCGCCCATGAAAGAGGCCCAAGAATAAAAACAGAAGTTGCAAATGCTAGAGACATTGGGAGAAGGATACTGTGTATAGGGTTTTTTTTTTTTTCCCCTAAAGCCAGAAGCCTCCAAGCCAAAGTTAGGGAAGCTGGAGTGCCTGGTTTTAAGGGGGGTGGGCTAGATATATAATGGGCATTATGAAAACCTGCTAGAATGGTGAGGGCCAATGAGATGTGGTTGTCCCTAGATATAAACTGCATAGGAAGGATAGGGAAGGATTACTGGAGGGAGTTTTGCTCTGTTTGCCAAAGAAGGCTTAGAGTCTTGGGAAGGGATGCACCTCAAAAGGAGGTGCTTGCCAGCCAGGTTGCCTGGAAAGGCTTGGGATCATTTGGTGGGGTTTAATGCATCTGCCAGAGAGAACAAGCTCTGGTTTTGCATTCATACAGAAATACACTTAGAAAGGAAAGTCCATTCAGCAGAAAATATACAGGCAAAATTTTTTCCTCAATGTTGTCTATACAGTAAATATTCCTTTTGTATCTCTTTATATTTTACTTTATATTTCTAAAGAGATAAAAAGCTTCCTGCCCAACAGAGAGAGAAGCTGACAGACAGAGGGGAGGCAGGGAAGGAAGTACATGTCCTGAAGGGTAGACTCTCAACAATAGTCGTTTGTATGGGCAACAAGGGTGCAAAGAGTTCACAGGTGGGGGTGCCAGGCCTGGGTCCAGACCTTGCCCCCCTTTTTAATGTTATTCTCAGAGCTTGTTCCTTCCCTTTCTTAAGTCCCTGAACTTTATCCTGTTTTTCTCTCTAGTTGCCACTCTGGGAATCCTTGTATGCTAATTGTTGGATGGGTGCTCAATTGCTCTTATCTGTTTCTGTCCATGGGTCATTCTGCTTGCAGAGTTGTTTTGCCTAGGCTCTCTCAGGGAAAAGCCTGACTTTTTGTCTGCAAGAATTCCAGCATTCATTTTTCTCTCACACTGCTAGCCAAAGACACTTGAATTCTTCCTGAATTCAAGCCTATCCAACATGGTCGGGGAACTTGTGCCACACAGCCTTGAAGATTTAAAAGGTGCAGACTTCCTCACAGAGGCACTGTGGCTGACAATACCTGGCTCCAAAATTAGTTCTAGGAGCACGTCTTATCTCCCAGACCAGGTCAAAGTGATTTTGAAATGGAAAATGAAATCAGGGAGGCCTCAAAAAGCAAGTGTTATAATTATGGGTGACTTTAGCTCCCAAACATTGGCTGAATAAATGCATTCTTTCCTTCTGATGATGTGGTTAAATTTCTTGATGTCCTAAATGACTGTACCTTAAAAACAGTATGTGGGGCGGGGAGTGACAGAATTATGCTTGGTGTGACAAAAGTAGATAAGGAGACTTTTCTCTCTTTCTCCTGTAATACTAGAACCCAGTGTCATTCCATGAAGTTGACTAGTGGGAGATTCAGAAGAGATAAGAGGGCATACTTATTATATTATAGTTTGCCTTTTTTTTCTTACAGGACCCAATTAGCTCCATGACTGATGGGGAATAGAACCCAGATCTCCTGAAACTCAGTCCCATGGTCTTAATGACTACACCACACTTACTTACACAGCAGAAAGTTAAATTATTAAATTTACTTCCTTGAGGTGTAATGATGGCCACTTATTAGGATAGCATTAAAAGAAGGTTAGACAAATACATAAGAAGGCTATCAGTGTCTAGTAATCCTGATGGTTATATGCTACTTCCAGTATCAGGGGCAGTATACCTATATATACACCAGTAGCTGGGGAGGATGGTTAGAAGGATACAGTAGCAGAATCCTTAGATTGCTGGCAGTATCCTTGAGTTGGCCAATGTTTGAATGGGTTGACTGTGAGCTGGATTAAGTGGACCACTGGTCTGATTCAGAACAGCCCTTTCTGTGTTCTTATATTCTTATGGTGTGCCTTTCTTTAAATAGTGTGTTAGTTCTGCTTTGCCATTTTCTTTGATTCTTCAACTTTCCAAAATGTTTGTTGGATTGTGTTTCATGAAACAAGTTGCTTGCAACTCAAATATGAGAAATCATTTCAACCATGTTAAATATAGATGGGATTTTTTAAAAAGCCCCTTCAAAGAACAGCTGATTTTTTTATTCTGGCAGGCATTTGATTTGCTAGATTAAATATTTTATTGTTAATCTCTTTGCTTTTTTAGATTGGTTTCATCAATTGCTCCAGTTTCTTTTTACTGCAAGTTGGCTTTTTTGCTTTTCCCTTTGATGTTCATTATTTTGAAAACGGTGTAAACTGCTCTGAGCGCTGCAAATGCAATAGGATAGTAGAATATAAATATTCCAAATACTCAGTTTACTGATTTGCCTTTGCAAACAGTTTGCAGTTTGACCAAAGGAAACTGAAGATAACTTTTAAAGTCTTATAATTGGTATGTGTTCTTCAGAATGTTGCTTCTTTCATATACCCTGGTCCCAAACACATTGTTCTAAAAGTCCCTTCAAGGGCTTTAACTTGGGAACTGACTTTCAAATAATAACAGCAGGCATAACATGAGCTGGAAAGTGCTTGGTTCAAATGTTACTTCAACTTGGGTTTCCTAGGTACCTTTAGGTAAATTAGAACCCACTTCTGCTCCTATTCTTTTGCAAAGTTGAACACAACAATTTAAACATACTTTTACAGAAGAGTTGCAAGTACGGTTAAGATAGGGCTGGGTCGGCACATGTGGTACATGTATTGTTTACCCCATGTGCACCACCCCTGCTGCTTCCAAATTTGCTGCTGTAATAGCAGCAGCAAAGCAATTGGAAATTTGCCACTGATTTTTGGTGGCAAAGTACAACTGTAGTCTAAAGAGTCCAAAGTTGACTTTCAGGTCACTGAAATTCAGCAGCAAACCAGCAAGTGGTCTGTTACTTTCATCAACATCCAGCAGCATGGGAGCAGCTTCTAGGAGTTTCTGGGACCCCCAGAGGCCTCAGGAGTTTCTGAAATGGAACCCCAGAGGCCTCAAAAGTTGCCACCCCATCTGAGATAATCTACACCTTTGAACTCTGTGTTTCCTAAATTTATTTTTATATAGCTCTTGCTGTAGTTTATTTACCAGCACCTCTGCTTTTTCTTGCTATTTACCCTTGTTGTGTCCCACCTGCCCCTTCTCTATACAACTGTCTGTGCCTCTTGAAAATCTTGGGGACCATTGGGAGTAGTGTGTGAGCATGTGTGCATGTATGTGAATGAGAGAGAGAGTGTGTGTGTGTGCAGGAGATTGCAGATTGAGGAGGGAATCACCTTCCCATTCCCAGCCATGAATGACTAGAATCCAAGAACTTAGGATCCAAGCACTGCAGCGGAATTGCTTTGAACACTCTAAAGAACTAGAGTATTCTTTATGTACCTGCCTGGGCCTTCAGGTCATCTCCTGGGGTCCTTCCCTGGGAACCTCCTCTAAAGGAAGCAAAGAGGGTGTCTACCAGGAGAAGGGCCTTTTTGGTTGTGGCACCCCAACCATGGAATGAGCTCCCCAAAGAGGTGCACCTGGTGCCTATTTGCTATTCTTTTCAGTGCCAGGTGAAAACCTTATTTGCTTAGTGTTTGAATAGTTAACTTTTTAATCTTAGTTTTAATTCTGCATTTATTCTATACTGCTTCTTGTACCTCTGCACTGATTTGATTGCAATTGCTGTGGTTTTATTGTTTATATTTATTTATGCTCATATTTATATGCTGTCTATTACTGCCAAAAGGCCTTCCTTATAACAACATATTAATAAGTTGTTTTAGTGTGTTCAATATGTATTTACATATTAAACACATGTATGTATGCTGTCTCTGTTTTCCTTGATATTTTAAAACTTTTGTTAACCACCAGAAAGTCATTGGCTATTAGGCAGGATAAAAATAAACAAACGAACTATGCAAATGTTAAGAATTTATAAATTTGTCTTAACAATCAACTTAGTGTGACCTTATGTGAACATCTTGATGAGGGAATACTTCATAAGGTGCTTTTTGCTTTTGCTTTTTTACACTTCATGTGGGTGCATTAGAATATGTTAAAATTGCAAGCATTTCCAACTTCATGGGAAAGCTCATCTGCCAACAAGATGGAGCAAACTCTTCTAATTTCAGAGTGTGGTGGTACTATTGTGTTCCTATCAAGCATGCTTCTGCTTCAAATGTTAATTCATAGAGTGTAATCCAAACATTGTTTTGTAGGAGTCAGCCAAGGTTTCGGAATTAAATCCTAATGCAAAAGTATGGGGGAATCACATGTTACATGTGGAAGCAAGTGGTGCTACTGATGGTAGCGTGAGCAAAGCCTGGGAAGAAATACCAGATCATCCGCCAGATTCCTGCAAAGAAGGTACAAGGAAGCAGTCTAGTTTTTTCCCAGAAGAAAAAAAAAATTCTGGCACTTAAATTAGAGTACCAAGGTCCTTCCTCAGGAGCCCTCTTTGAAGGAAGTTGGAAGAGTGGCTACCTGGAGAAAGGCCTTTTCTGTGGTTTCACCCTGGCTCTGGAATCTGCTGCCCAGAGAGGTGTGCCTAGTTTTTGGTACCAGGTCAAAACCTTTTTATTCACCTAATATTTTGAGTTTTGCTGGCATTTTAAAATGAAAATTTTATTACAAATTTTAATTGTATTTTAATTGTGCTGTTACTGTTGTGAGCCATCATGAGATCTATTCTGGTATAGTCAGGGTATGAATGTTTTAAATAAAATAAGTTAGTCTTGGAAATAGCCCATGGTGAGACTGTAGAGCATGGGTCCTCAAACTACGGCCTGTGGGCTGGATCCGGTCCGCCATGCACATTGATCCAGCTCACCACACATGCATGGCAAGGTGCCGGCTTGCTTGCAAGGAGATCGTTTTGGACTTGCTCGGAGAAAAGGATCTCTGCGCGCGCACGCCCCTGCCTTTCTGCATGCGTTCCCCCCCCCCCCGCCCAGCCCGCGCCCATCCCTGGCACCTTTCAACTGGCCCCCTATTCAAAAAGTTTGAGGACCCCTGCTGTAGAGCATGTGGGCTGTTTGCAGCCACCATTTTGAGTATGCTTGTTTAAAGTTGTTATCCCATGCAAACCTGGGGAGTGTAGGTTATATGAGGATTAAACCACCATGAGTAATGTGTGGGTTGTTTAACCAGGTTTGCACCACACAACAACTGATAAGCAGGGGTTGTATACTCAGCCTGGTGCTTGCAGTCACCACCACTCATTCTGGGTTATGGCCATGTAGTATATGAAGGACGAATCTTATACAGTGGTACCTTGGCTCACGAACGCCTCAGTTCACAAACAAATCGGGTCGCAAACAAATTTCTGAAAAAAATTTGCCTCAGGTCGCGAACTGCGCATCAGGTGACGATCACGGGCACCCTGGGGGGGAAGCCCCCCCAGCGCACCCGTGACCGCGCCCGCCTCCCCCCAAGTGCGCCTGCCTCCCCCCCAAGCTCACCCGCAATCACGCCTATCTTTCCACCCCAGCGCACCTTGCTTCAAATTTTTGGTGATTAATCTGTTCTGTAACTTTTTTAAAAAATCTTATTTACACTGAACCTTATGGGGAAATTTGACTTGGCTTATGACCAATTTGAGTCCCGACCAGAGTCCTGGAACGGATTAAGTTCGTGAGCCAAGGTACCACTGTATGTATTGTTAGTTTTCCCAGTTACTCCAAAACTATTCGTTGCAATAAAAGCATGCATGCACTCAGAGCCACCACTCTGGCGGTTACTCAAAATGTAACATTGATCTTCAGTGGCAGAGAACAAATGAGTAATTTCTTGGTGTGTGACTCTTACAGTTTTCTTGACAGGATTGGAGGCCAATGGGGATGGTGACAAAAAGCACCAGAATGCATCATTAGCAGAGCTGCAGGAACCAGCACTAACTGCTCCGTTATCAGACCAAACAGATATGAACCCTTTGGCTCTAGATCATTCAGAGTATGACTCTATGCATGAAAACACTCAGACAGGTAAAAAAAAGATCTTCAAATAAACATGTTGTCATTTTAAGAATTGTTTGTTAGTTTATTCGTCATTCACTTTGTCCCCCCTTCCATCTTTTCCAACACGAAAACAGTATTCAAAGCAGCATTTCAGTTTTCTAACGTACAAAATCACCTTCCATCATGGATGTCATGGCACATTTATAAACTGCAGGGTACTGATTAAACTTGCCTAAGCAACACTGAATTAAGCATATTGAAGCAGAAATGACCATGTACTAACGATAGCTGCTTCTATTAAACCCTTAATATGCTATCTTAAATAGGAGGGTCAATTAATACAATCATTTTTCCCAGCATGCCTCTCTGTGTGATGAGATCCAGCGCACATAGAAGGAATTGCTGTCATGGGCATGTGCCTAGTTTTAAGTGTACTGTATGTGTAGTGTAACAGCAGCAGCATGATTATAAATCAAATATAAATACTGACATCTAGATGTGATATTATATGAACTCTAATACCCAATAATAGTGTTGCAACTTGGTTTTTAGCCAGCCTGCTTTCCAAAGTTTTCTGGTGGGTGAGAATACATTTAAATAGAAAAGAAACCGTGCAGTTGCAGTAGCTCAAATAGTGAAACCCATCCCCTATTCTGCTAGAATTAGAATTCAATTCAATTAGTTTAGAATTCAATCCAGGTGAAATGCTCTTGCTTTATAAACTGTGCTGCGGTTTTGGATGTCCAGGGTCTTGTGTGGTAAACATCTTTACAAGCTTAACCAAGCATATGTATAAAAAGAGAGATAGGGATTCAACGTATTTTGTTAATGTTCTGATTTTGGATCCATAATGAAAAGCATCTATATGCATGAGTTAGTTGAGTTTGTGTGCACTGGAAGTTCCATATCAAGACAACTGAATTCTGTGTGATGAATGTGTATAATTAGGTGCATTTTCCTAATCTGTATCTGGAAGCATTCTGCTTTTCCTAGTCACAGAGAAACACAGGACATTGGAAATCTGTTCACTGCTCACCCTGCACCCATGCTTACACACATACGTACATTTATATGTATGTGTGCAGACCTCCAGAACATGCGTCGCACCTGAAGGACTAGAAACCTCTTTTTCCAATAAAATAAGATCCTCAACATAATGAATAGTGTAATCCATGCTAAATGCTTTACTTGCATGCTGTGAACAAAAACTTGTGCACACATTACAATCCTCACTTTGTTATTCATTATATTCTGATGCCAAGCAATATATCTAGCTGTTTGTGTATTTATAGGACATGCTTTTTATTTTTAACTGACTCTCTTTGGGAAGCTCAATATCTACTGTAGGAACAGAAATAATGTAGGCATTTTCTGTTGCTGGGTTATTAGAAGGCTGTAGCCCCCTCCAGTAAGCCATGCTGCCCAGGTTTGGACAACGTGACAAGTCACACCAAGCGGGGTGATAAGGCTAACCATGTCTTACACACACCAAAAATTAAGGAAGGCATACTGGCTTGTTTAAGTCTGAGTGATCGTGACATCCAGCCCACTGAGCGTATAATGCAGGAGTGGGCACATTGGTTGATGACCAAAAAGACAATGATTTTGCTTCCCAAACAAGTTGCATGCCTTATGTTGGAGCAGAACTGCTCCCCGTATCACTGGATTGAGTTGGTAGAGGGCAACCTAAAGTGGAGTCCATGTGAGCAGCATGATCCTTGATCCCCCAGAAGTTACCCACAGTGTAAAGGCACTACAGAGCAGAGTAGCAGAATATTCAAGGCCCTCTCGATTGCTTCCAGATGCCTCCCCCTCAAAAAAAAAATCCATAGTCAAATATTTGCATGCCTTCCTTTGTCCATATGAGTTCTTAAAAGCTGTTTCAACGGAAAAGGAATTGTGACTAACATATATGTCAATGTTTGAGGATTGACTCATATTTTTAAATAAGTTGCTTTTTCAATTCAACTTTATCATTCTCTTGTTTAATGGTTTCTAGAGGGGTTGGGACAGGGTGGACCATGGGTGCAAATTAAGTGTGCCTGGGATCTGTCAACACTTCTATGGAGTTCATGAGTTCGGGTAGAAGATTTATTATTATTTTTTTATTCATATAAAGAGCACGTTGTGGTATTTGGCCGATTTGGCATTATAAATGAGGAGATGGTTGTAACACAAAGAAAGCTACTTTTAAAGTAATTTTGACTTCTTTCCTTCTTGACTTCAAGTTGACTTTGTATTTCCTATTTTTAGGAGGTAAAGAACAGCTACAGCCAGAAGGTCAAGAAGATCTGCGAGAAGTGCTTAAAAAAACACTGGAATTCTGTTTATCTAGGTACTGTAAGCATAAAAGGGATATTACCAACTAGTGGGCCCACCTTGTATATTTTTCTTTTGGATGATAGGAAAAGAATTACCATGAAATAAATGATGTACCTGTTTCATAATGCGGTGTAGCATTTGAGTTGCATAGAAATTTATGACTGGCCAGAACCAAATCAGGTGGGTTTATATCATGAAAAATCTGAGGGCAATTTGGGAAAGCATGAAAGTACTTCATTTCTAATTCGCTTATCCTTTTTCTTTCCATTATTCAAGCAGTAAAGTCTTTCAAATTTAGGAAGCTTTAGAAGCTGCCGGTCACTCCCTAAAAGTTTACAAATATTCTCTACCTGCATAAAAAGACTGCACTCATTGCTTTAGGAGAATAGCAGCCACTGAAAGTAGGCTCCTATGAGTGCTCTGTCTGTGCTCAGGCTGTGCTCTGTCATCTGCAGCAGAAAATGCTTTAGCACCAGTGCCTCCTGTAAGCTAATCATTAAATACAAGACTGGGCACATAGTTTGCCTGGACACAGACAGACATCTCTCTGTCCATCCACCCACCACCTAGTGTGCAGGAATGATGAAACGTCCTCTCCCTATACACTGGGATAAGGGAGGGAAAAGCCCTTTGGAAGCTGGAATCATGCAGGTGACAGCCAACTCTTTCCTGACTTTCAAAAGCTCTCCCGGCTGGAGGGGAAAGTGAAGATTCCTCTTTACCCCAGCAAGGAGACATAAGGGTTCTCCTAGGCCACCACTCACCTGCATCATAGTGGGCTGGAAGAAGCATGGACTTACGTAGGGAGAGACACATAGAGGAAGGGGGAGTTAAAGCATTTTCTCCCCACGGCTTCCCCCACCAATCATGACCAATATTCTGGTTTTCCTGCTGCAGGTAATGTGCAAGGCCTCTGTGTAAGCTAGTTGATAGCTGATCTGCTCCATAGTGGAACAGAGTGGGTAGGGCCCACTCCAAAGGATTCTTCAGAGAGCTTCTCAGGGCTCCATGTGGCCATGGGTTATCCACATCAGGTTAAATGCCTGCAGAGAACTCAGTAAATCCTCAGATATGTCCTTTCTGTCTGCCTGGGGTTATACAGCAGTTTTTAAAATATACCTGCCAAATGCACTGTATTCAGTTTGTTGTGTCAATTTGTAGAGTCCTGCATATTATTGCACAACCCATGAAATGGGGAAGCTAAGACTGTTTCCAGAGTCCTTGTGATATCCGCACGAGCAGCCAGGAGAATTACACACTACTGATAGTGTATTAGATGCCTGTTTGTGGGTTATGAAGGCAAATGCTCCATGAACACTTGCATGAGAAAAAGAAATGTGTCTCTCACAGTGAAGCCTATTTTTTCCTTCAACAGAGAGAATCTTGCCAGTGATATGTACCTTATATCTCAGATGGACAGTGATCAGTATGTGCCAATAATGACAGTAGCTAACCTTGATCATGTCAAGAAGCTGAGTACCGATATGGATTTGATTGTTGAAGTGCTGCGATGTAAGTACTTGTTAAGGCATAAATAGTGTTGACTTGTGAACAGATTATGAAGTTTTGTTCTAAAAAGGGACTTAGTACTACATAGAGTTCTTAAGAGTTGGTGTTTCCTCTGAAAGCAAATTAAGGCAACTTAATTTAAAACCAACCCATTTTAGCAATCTCCAGATTTCTGGGTGAGCACACCCATCAGTTAATCAAAATTATGAAAGGACCCCCACACCTCCAGAATTCTTAGAATATTCTAAACAAGATGAATAGCAAAAATGAGGCTCTCTATGCTGCTGGAGTTGTATATATGTTCAATAGGAAACTTGCTTTGCTTTAGCCACTACAAATTCCTTCAGATGGAAACTCTGAGACTCTTTCAAAAGATCTGTAGTAGGTCTGGGACATCTGTCATTATTGTTTCTGAAGTTTTCCCATTATAGGAGAAGTCTACTTTTTAAAAAATAGTAGCTGTCAGAATGAGGCAGCCTGAGATAGCATATACAGCCTTTTTCTTTTCAAAGTAGAAAAGAGTTCCTTGCAAGTGTCATCTGACCCAGTGAGGCAGTTTGTCCAGCAAAGACAGCAGCTTTGGCAAAATGTGGTTTGTTAACTGTGGGTTGTAGGTTGTGAAGTGGGGGGTAGCATGCTGGCCCCCAGCTGATCAACCACTCCAAATACGTGTATCAGCTCAGGAAACAAGGCGTTAAAATATGGGTTGTTCTTCCACTGATGGGTGAGAGCTAGCACACTCACTTGCTTTTGCCACGCCTACTTGTTTGCATCTTCCCAGATGTATCTTTAAATATGTGTAGTTATGATGTGCTAAGTGTGCTAACAGGGTGCTGCAAGTACAGCCAACATACTCAGTCGCCATTGGCAGCCAAGCAGGTTACCTGTATTAAGAGCTAAAACAATCACTTCCAAAATCAAGTAGGTGGCATGACTTGGAAACTTCATGTGTATCTTCCACATTTAAACACCTACCGAAAGATCTTTCTGTTAATTATATGTTAAGAGTGGCAACTGTAAAACCAAGTTCTTCTCTATCCTTTGAGGTCCTAAATCAACAGTATTGTATATTTTCTCAGCATTGCCTTTAGTCCAAGTGGATGAGAAAGGTGAAAAAGTCAGGCCAAACCAGAATCGCTGCATTGTAATTTTACGTGAAGTACCTGAATCTACTCCAGTTGAAGTAAGTATCACATACTGAAGGAAGTGCTTTTGGTAGAAGCCAGGGTATATGTAGAACAAACAGCTTGCGTGCTAAAATCAGTTTGCGTGTGCATGTATGTGAACATGCACTGAATAAAAGGATCCAACTTGGAATCTTGTTCCAAGATTCTGGTCATAGAAATCATGATTAAATTACCTGTTCTTCAAACTAAGTCTCTGTGTATTGTAAGCTTAGTAGACTAAGTAAATCACAGGGTTGCATCAAAAACTTGCATGAGTGGAAATTCACTTGCTCAACTAATGTGTTATTCCCTGGTGCCCCTGCCAAAGGCTCTTCAGAATGTGGGGCACCCTCCTGAACAACAAGGACTATGTGATAGGAGGCTTTAGCAGGGGAGAGAACCTCCAGAAGCCAGACAATGCTGGCTTGCACACATGAGGTTTTTTTATCACTAAATGAGGTTGTAGAAGTGGCCTTGCCTTTGCGTTTCCTTTAGATCCAATCCAAAGTCCTTGCAAGTTTATTTAAACTTCTGTATAAAATCTTAAGGAGGTAAACCATGCACAAGCAACTACATACTTAGAATTTTAGGGGAGCAATCGCTGTTTCATGGTCTTTGTTGAGATTAAGCATAGCTACTGATAGTGTGAAATTTAAATAATTTTGCTGCCAGTTCTGACAAGGCTTGTAGTCTGTTCAATTCTAAATCAGCCTTTGGTCACACTTTTCCTTCAATTCTTTTCTTAGGAGGTTGAAGCACTCTTCAAAGGAGATAACCTGCCTAAGTTCATCAACTGTGAGTTTGCCTATAATGACAACTGGTTTATTACATTTGAGTCTGAAGCAGATGCGCAACAGGTAAATGTGCCCTCCCTCCCTCCCTCCATTGTGTCAATGCCCTGTTTCAGAAGATTGTTTCAGGTTAATCATAGCTGTGAGGATGTAACACAAAGAAGTGCTGATTCATAATATACAGTTGATAAAAAGGTATCTAATACTGAGTTGCAAGAGGGGATCATTGTGGAGAATTCCAGTTCTCTTAGTTTAGAGCAAGATACATGCCATTTCCTGTATGCTTTCCATTACTGAGTCTGGAAGACGTGAGAATACAACTCAAACATCTAAATCCTTCTGAAATCATTTTAAAAACTGACTCCTGTGAATTTCAATAGGGCTTGTGTATGTCTTAACTTGTCTAACTTAAGGGCTGTTTCAGAACTTCAACTAGAGTGGAGTTTATGGAACAAGTCCTACCCATGCAAATTCACCTTGTCTGCTCCACCTGTTTTTGATATTTCATATGGTGGTTGCAAACTGCATTACACAGAGTAAAAATTTATCTTTTTGCAAGCTTTGAAAACATAACTGTAGTACATCATAAGTCTGAATCAGACTTGAGTACCCTGTGCGAATAGGGAAAAGTTGACATTGTTGCTGGTCACTTTGCATCTTTTCAAACAACCATTTTTGTTACTCTTAAAGGCTTACAAATACCTTAGAGAAGAAGTGAAAATCTTCCAAGGAAAACCAATTAAGGTAATTGTTCTGTGGTTGCGGTTGTTCTAGCGTTAGCTGAAGTGCTTTCGAGCAGAGTCTTCTAAGAGCATAATCTTCTGTCTTCTAGGCAAGAATAAAAGCAAAGGCTATAGCTATAAATACATTTTTGCCAAAGAATGGATACAGACCTCTGGATATGAACATCTACACACAGCAGCGTTATACTACATCATTTTACTTACCTCCAGTATACAGTCCCCAACAGCAGTTTCCACTATACAGTTTAATTGCCCCACAGACTTGGTCAACCACACACAGCTATCTTGATCCATCACTGGTAAGCATTTGTTAATCAGATGTTCAGGTTATTGCTTGGTCTTGAATATCACTAGCCATCTCAGATTAAATATATAGTTCCATACCCAATATTGCACTGCTGATACATGTACATTGCACCTTGTTGCTTATATTTGTATACTTCCGCAGCTTGCATTCAGAATAGCTAAATTCTGGAAACAGTTCTCTTGAGTCATCTGAATACTGTTAAATTCTTTTAAACTAAATTGGGAGTTGATAGGAGCTAAAGTGTAAGTGTGATGCTCAGGTCAGGGACGAAAAGTGAAGGAGAAAAAACTGGCATTTAACAGAGACTTGAAGCCATGCAGCACATTTGAAGGGACTGTGTGGCTATTGAACATTCCAAGTCTGTAGTTGTGTAATCTGCAGTGTTTGTCTTCTTTAGGTAACACCATTTCCAAATACTGGATTTATCAACGGCTTTACGTCTCCTACTTTCAAGCCTACTGCTTCCCCACTGACTTCACTTAGACAGTATACTCCTAGAAACAGGCAAGTTCTAGAGATAAATGTTCAACTTTTGACTCTAAATTATATCTGTTAAGGGAATAGTTCAAATAGCTTTTGGAGAACTATGCATCACATTACAGATGTTCACTTCACTTGGATACTTCGGCCTATCTTCACTTTACAACAGTATAAAAACAATTGATTTTGATGTAACTGATTTAATTACAGCCTGAGGTTATGTTCAAGTTACAGTAGCAGTTGGATTTAAAATAATCAGTGGACTGATACAAAAGTGAGTGGTCTATATGACCTCCCAAAATGGAAATCTATGTACTGCTAGCAGAAATAACCATTTGTACAAGGACCGTGGGCATTTTGTCTTCAGAAACTGCTTTGGTCACAGTTCTCAATTTGATGAGGCAGGCTTTCCCTCAAGATGCATAGTCAGTTCATGTAGGTGGCACATGCAGATGGACTAGAAAAGGAGAGCCACAAAGTGTGATGTGTTTATAGGACAGAAAAAGCAGACATGATGTTGAGGTTTCAAGTTGACTGATGTCACCAAAGGTAATGCAAATAAAATTGCTCCTCTTTCTTTCTTTCCCTCAACTGTGAATAAGGAATCAAGCACTGCTGACAGGCTCAGGTGCTCCTTCCCCAGAGCAAATTCAGCCCTTCCACTTTATGGGTAGCCAAGCAAAACATTGACCGCTGTGATGGTTGATGCCAAAATCTTTGTAAATATAGTTAAAATGGGAGGAGCAGCATTCACATGACTGACCCTTTTGCATCTGCACAGGCTCCAGGCCTTAATATTTCTGCAAAGACTCTTTACAGATGGAGGAATATTTCTGTTGTGGAGTTAGCGGATAGTTTTTGGTCCATAGAATCTGGAGGTGTCCATTGAAGCCAAATGAGGGGAGGACCAAGACAGACCAAAGGAAGTAAAATTTCATGTGTTGCCTCATTAAAATGGGATTCACTGTCAAAAGATTGTATGATGGCCCTTGATTTTTGACTACTTTAAAAGTGAATTAAAGACATTCATGGGAAAAGAAGCTATCAGTGGCTTCTGGTTGTGAGGGCTCTATATTGTCTCCAGCAATAGAGGCTGCATGTCCCTGAATATTGGCTTCTTAGGAACTGCTTAGGAGAGATGGCTGTTGCCCTTCCTAAAGGCATCTATAGAATTAGGGTTAGAGTTAGATGAAGAGGAGGAGGACCAAATACACAATGGATTGATTCCCTAAAGGATGCCTCAGCCTTGCATTTACAAGAGTTGAGCTGGGCTGTCAAGGTCAGGACATTGTGGAGGGCTTTCATTCATATGGTCACCATAAATTGGAGATGATGACACATAACAAGAACATAGACATCTGGTTAGCCACTCTAGTACGCAGGATGCTGGATTAGGTTGTCCTTCAGTCTGGTCCTGTAGGTCTTGCCTTATGATCAAAATTAACCAGACAGAACACCTTGTTGTTTTGACTTGGGGAAGGCAGTGTCTTTAGAAAGCTGTTGAGCTTGTTCTTTGCATGGTTTTAAGACATTTCTAAAGATTTTCTGTGGTCATTAAGGTACATTTTGTTTTTTTCCTTCAGAAATCCTAGCAAATCACATCTGCGGCATACGATACCCAGCGTAGACAGAGGAACTGGACTTTTAGAGAGCCCTACAATATTCAATTTCTCCACTGACCGTTTAATCAATGGCGTCAGGAGCCCACAAGCAAGGCCGCCAGGGCAAAACAGAGCACGGATGCAAAATGCTGCAACTTACACCAAGCGAGAAGTAGGCAGTGGACGAGTAGAACCAACAGCTTCAGACTCTTCCCCAAGTTTAGGCAGAGGAAGGTGAGTATTTCAAGGGATGTGCACAGTGATGGTGGTCGGGATGCAGTACAAAGGTAGGTTGCCACGTTTCCACAGGGCAGGAACAAAGGGGTGTAACAGATGAAGAAAAGGAAGATAAGGCCCCAAGGTGAAGTGGAGGGAGGAGGAATAGTTTGGGGAAAAGGCAAAGGAAAATAAAAGTCATGCTAGGGAAAGTTCTACTGATGAAGGGCCACCACAGAAAATGGGCATGCACAGAAAGAACTGCAGGAATCAAGTATTAACAACAAATGAACTAAAGAATGGGAAGATTTCTGATGCCTACATAATCATCACAATAAATCATGGTTCTGAGATAATGAGTTTAGTTGCAGGATTTTTTTTTCAAAAGAACGTTAGCGTGGAAACTAGTCTAAGTGAAAAAGTTTTGAAGTAAAATTATTTTTAAAATCTAAGCTGATTACAAACGCCTTTTCTGAAGTTGAAGCTTTAAAAGGTAGTCCTTAGTAACACTCGGACTTGGTTTGCACATAACCGCAACCCATGAGTTGTCATGTACGAGCAGAAAAGACTGCCTGTGTGGCTTTCTGCGCACATTCTTACTTTTCTCAACAACCTACAGTCAGTTTGTTCATAAGTTGTTGTGTACGGCGTGTGAACTTGGACCGCTGGGCTGTTTAGGGGCTAAACAATTCTGCAGTTAACCCCCAGTTTGTTGTTGAACTAACAGCTAAGCTGTTAAGCCTCTAAGTAAACCAGTGGTTTGGGTTTGTACATCATGCTTACAAATTAATCAATTGTATGTTGTTGTTTGAAAGCAGAAGTGGCTGGCATGTTGTAGGCAGCATGTTCACTCTCACACGCTCATCCCCAGCAGCCCATGCTTTCATTCATGGACTGCTGTTTCATGAGAACTGCTCCTATATGTTGCTAATTAAGAGTGTATATAATCATTCCAAAACAAAGTTCATGAGAGCAGCTATTTACATAATTATGGTGGTTGGGTTAGGGAGGCAAAATTAGAGGGGAAAGAGGAAGCTAAATAGAATTGGGTTGTAGCTTAACACCTTCCTGAATACTGAGAGTCCATACTGAGTAACTCTGCAGAAAATTGGGTGACAATGGATATGATATGACTCCCAGTGTCTTGGTGATGGGCTGACCCTAGGGAGATCAGTTGGTTTCACATAGACAAAAGCATTTACCTCTAATGCTGCATTCCTTTTTTTTCTTCCTTTCTTTGTAATGGTATTCTACTGCTTATTTAAAATAGCAATCTTTATTTACTTCCATGTCCCCTGTGTCAGCTTTATAGGAGCTACGTTGGTATTTTGCTTTCATCAATAACCTATGTTTAATGTTCTGGGTGAGAAGGGTAGTGAATATGTTACCCTTCATATGTTTTGGACTAAAACTCCCATAAGCCCCAGCCAATGGTCAGTGATTGTGGGAGTTCTATTCCACACCACTGTAGGCAACCTCTATTATTTTGAATCCATATCACCTTAGGTATTGATAAATCCATCTTTCCACATTGATCTATAGATTTTTTAAAATCTTTATGGCAGTTAATAATTTAATATCTAATTTCAGACGTATTGTCACTCAAAAGGCACATTCTTAAACTTTCTAAAATTTACATTTTGAAATGTGGCTTGGTACATTTTTTGAGCCAGTCGTTATCACAAAATTGGGTGAAATGTGAAATCTGAAGGAAAACCTAACACATTCTGCCCCACATATTAGCCTGTGAAGGGGCAATCACATCGTTGTATTGAAATTTGTGAAGCTTGAACTCTTTACATTAATGCTGAAGCAAGTAATCTTGCTTCTTGCGTTTAGCAAGAAAGCTTTTCAACTTTTAGCCTATTCACCAGGAGAAGAACCCACATGAAGTTAGAGTAAATATACAAAGTGACTAAATTTTATCTTTTCAAGAACACATAATACTTGGGTGTGGGGGTCAGATGAGATTGTATGGGCTGCTTCAATGGCCAAGAATTTATGAGTTGCTTTGATGGCCAAGATTTAAAACTTGGGAGAGGGAATTAGGAAGGGAGGAACTGGAGGGTACAAAAACCTTATTAATATTCTGCCAAACATTCCTTTTGGTTTCTAAGCCCCCAGCAGAACTTTCTCTGCCACAATAATGGGGCTGGAAATGTATAAGGGGGATGCTCTTTCAGAAGCCAGATAACTGCCAGAAACCGATTTCTGTGCTGCTTGGGTTTTCTGAATAGGCATGGCTTTGTGTGTCCTCCTTATACAATAGCCTTCAGTGCAGTGGACCTTGCGCTTTGTTTGCACTGACATGCAGCTGTTTCTGAGTTTCACTCTGGTTTGGTTCCAATACTCCTGACACTATTTTAAAGTGTTACAACAGCTGCTTTAATCCATCAAATACTTTTTGCACAAGCACCACTGAACTTCATCATTCTTGCCAACTCCTGCATTGATTGTATTCTAGTGACAACAATAGGTTGATAGGTTGCACAAACCAGTCTTCACAAACTGTTGTAAAGTTGCTGCCCTGTTCCCTGGCATTATTGTGCTACTCCTAGTCTTTACTTGGCATTGCATAATCTAATCTACAAAAGCAAGCCACATTAATACCATTTGGAACTTGAATGAGATACATCAACTTCCAAAATAGTTGGTAGCCATCAATAAGGAAGAATATTTGTAAGCTGCTCAGCAAACTCATAACCCAAATTCCTGCTGAATTTCTGTCCTGCCAGACAAACATGCTGTCTCATTTCTAGACCTTAAGAAAGATATGTATTTTTGTAATAATAGAGGCAGACTTCACTCTCTTCAATGCAATTTGGAAGCCTTGCCCCCCCGCCGCCCTTGGGCTTTCATGTTTTCTGCAGTCCTAGCTTGATATTATAACAAGCTGTCATTAAACAAATATGTGCCCATGTAGGAATCCTTTTAAAATGATCTTACTAGGTAGTCTTAAGAACACATTCATTATTTTCTTACAAACAAGTACACCATAATGCATCATTTCAAGTACTGTATAAAAGAAGGGTGAGTTTCTGATAATGATTTTCTCTCTGCAGAAAAAACTCATATGGCTATCGAAAGAAGAGAGAAGACAAGTTCACAGTGAGTCTGCGATATTTAGTCTGTTCATGCATGACAGAGGAGTTGTTGATGAATCTAGAGATAAAGCATCGCATGAAATGATTGATATTAAATAATCACTAAATAAAAAATAACTATTCTAAATAGCTGTTAATTGTAATGAGATGATCAAATCTGCCATGGGATTGGAAGTTACTGAAAATGGAAAACACTTTTCTTTCCACTGATCATATAGATTACCCATGCTGAAGTTTTAGAGCTTTTTTTTTCCTTCCCATCTCCAGCTGGAAAATAAATGCTTTATGAAAAAGACAATTCACCACAACAAAATGGATCATAGTCAGCCTGCTGCTTTGTGATTTTAATTTCATGTGAATATCTCTTGATACCCATTTCCAAATCATCACTTTTTAGTTAAATGCACGGTGTCTTGTTTTGTCTCTTCTTCCACCTGTTACTTCCATACCAAGCCATCCTGTTCCCACCCTGCCCAATGCTGCCTTTCTCTCCTTTTGAGGTAGCTTCTTATACAATGGAAAGGGTGTCTTGTATCTTTAAGACCCTGGTCCTTCCTTTCAGTTCCTTCCCAAATGACTGCATGCAGTTACATATGCTGACATGCTTTCTTCAGAATTTTGTCCACATACATAGTAAAACGGGTTCTTCTATTAACTGACTTAAGGGCTGGTGTAATTTGAGACTGGAGTAAACCATGATTAAGTGAGTCTCCTTCATGCTTGGAAACAGATTTGCTTGTGCAGAATGGGTGCTATCCTTGAATAAAACAATCAGATCACAGCCAAAGAATCTGCATGAGCTACTTAGCATAGTCAAATGTAGAACTCATTTCCTGGAGAGGTTAGATTGGCTCCCTCATTATTGGTCTTTAGTAAAAACAATACTGTTCCACCAAGCCTGTAGATATTAAGGCTGGCCTGCCATTTTAGAAGATACCCTGTTTTATTACGTATTTACATATCAGTTTTCTTTGCAATTGTATCATGTTTATGATTTTATTGTCAATTGGCTCCAGCACTTACTAAGTAGATGGGTGATTAGAATTTTTTTAAAATATTACATACCTTGCCTATAACAACTGCTGGCTCGTAAGAATTGCACATACAGCACACTGGATTTTGTAGGCCCTCTTAGAAGCATCTGACCTTTTGGTCAAGCCTCCAGTTGTGGCATTTTCTTACGCTATGCTTTCCCTCATGCAGAGAGGGCAAACGCAGTCTCCACCCCCTCCAAAGCCTCCGTCTCCAAGTTTTGAACTGGGGTTGTCCAGTTTTCCTCCATTGCCAGGAGCTGCTGGCAATCTAAAGACTGAAGACTTGTTTGAAACCCGCTTGTCAAATGTGGCAGTAGGAACATCAAAGGAAAAGGTAAGGGTGCATAAAAAGCCAGAAAGAAGGGGAGAATCTAAGATGAGATTTTCCCCTTAGATGTCCAGAATTGTCAACAGCAATGGAGCTTGAGAAGAGGCTCAAGGCTAACATGCTTGGATGAGTTTGCATTTATATTTTGATTTCAGCAAACTGATTAGACAGACTGATGTCTTCCTGTATAACTGATGCAGAGTGCTTCACATTGGTAACTAGATAGCCTTGCAATAGGACAGATCTGTCTTAAATATGTGGGAAGAAAACCTAAGGGGAAAGGATGCTGACAAGTACTTAATATCCAGAGGTGTCAAGATGTACTTACCAGTGTTCATTTTATTTTATTTTTTTTATTAAAACATTTCTATCCCGCCCCTTGCCGAGGCCTCGGGGCAGCTTACAACATCATGTTCATGTGTTAGTTATACCCAACTGGAAGGTGCCTGACTAGAAGAAAAGTCCTTCTAGCCTTGTACTTTCAAAGCTGACAAGTGGCTTTCCACATACTTAGTCAGAGACCTTCTTTGTTCGAGTCAGGCTTCTGATTTTTAAATCTTCTAAATGCAGATGCCAGCAAACAAACTTGAGACCCTTTTAGATGTGGTACAAGTGGGAGTTCCATCCCCACCTGTTGTGTCCTCTGAAAAGCAGTCTTAATGGTCAGAGAGCCTCAGAGCAGAATGCAATGTGGCACAAAGTCTGTGCCTGTTAGAAGCAGACAAAACAAATCCCTTGTGGAAATGTATTCCATTCATACAAATGCTACTTCATACACACCCAAACAATTCCTGACTTGATGCAGCCTGCAGTATTCTATTCTGTTTGTCTTTAACGTTAACCATTCTAATCATTTATTTGGCAGTGAGTCAGATTGTCTTATTTGGGCTTAGGAAGTAGGTTTCCTGGGGTCTGCTTTAACTCCCATGCAGATTGCCTTAGTTGTTTGAGCAGTCTAGAGCTACTGCTGTGTCCATACTTTGTCAAAGGATATGTACCCTGTGCTTATGGCATATTGGGTTTGGTTTCCTTGGTCTTTGAAGGGCTGGTGCCCTGTTGGGACTTTTCTTCCAACAGCTTCCATAAAGGTATTGAATGAGTTCAAGTATGCTATTTATACAGTATGATCTTGAGTCAAAGTGCATTTGAAATGACCCAGACTTCATTTCCGGCAGAACGTCAGTGTGGGTGCAAGCACGAACACGATTCCATCAGGAATTCCCCGAGAGCCTTTGTTGCCTGTTTCTTCTGCTCTACCAGGGACACTCGAAAGGGCTCCTTCCCCATCCCAGCCTCCTGAGTAAGGATGTAATTATGCATGGCTTTAACTATACCATTCAACTATATTGAATCAGTGAAACTGTATGATGAACCTGTAAGCACTCTTGGAATTAACGCTCCATGCATAACAGTGAGCAGTTGCTTAGAATTTTATTTTGAACTGTGCAAACCTATGCAGTGCATATGCGTGCATTCTGTGTGGGGTAAGAGCAATCACATGCGCACTTCCCAACCAGAGTAGAGGGCTGCTGCTTTCTGCAGTCAGCTTGGGTGTGCTGAATGCAAAGTTCAGGGGTTTCCATTATGTTAACACATTCCTTTGTATCAATTGCAGCGACCCCAAAGTTATGGAGAAGCAGCAGAGAGAGACACAAAATATTGAAAGACTTTCTTCTGTACTCACTACCGCTTGTAAATCAGTGCAAGTCAATGGGGCTGCTGTGGCAGTAAGTGCATTTTGTCTTTTATAAAGGGGTCTCTGTTTGCTTAATGTTTGGTGTGAGCTATTTACTACCAAAAAAAAAAAAAAAAACTCCTCCAAAGAAAAAATAGGGTGAGTTATGGACTACTTTCATTAGTAAGTGTGGGGTGGGATGCAATAAGGAACAGGGGAGCTTAATATCCGTTTTTCCTTTGAGTTGTTCAATACACCTGACTTTTGTTTTTCCAATTAAAACACTGAACACTGTTTTGTCAGTATAGGTTGATGATTCTTACGGGCAACAAGTGGTCCAAACTCTGTAGAACATCTGAAATAACTCATATGCACTTAACAGCTGCCATGCTTTTTAGTTAGCTCCATGTTCACACATCACTCAAAGGCAATTTCTTCTGGTTGAGAAAATGGTAGAACAGGTAGCTAACTAACATCATGGGTACAAGTTTATTGCACATTGGGCCTTACTCACCCGTTTTGCTTTAAAATACTTATTCCGTCTTTCTGTCCTGTAAATTGGAACCCCACAGTAGCTGACAAGCAATAGTTTAACATCATAGTGATAAAGTCAAACTAAGCAAATCAAAATCCATCCCAAACAATAGTAGACTAGAACCAAGATAGGATGAGATTCGTTTTACTTATTAGGCCAAAAGCCAAGAGAATCAAAGTATTTACCCCTAGATACTGGAAGATCCAATTCCAAAAGTTGTATGGTAGGAATCAAGGATCTACATTGCCAGTTTCATATGCCTGCTGAGAGCTGTGCTTTATCAACTCTCTCCCCCAGGTGCCTGCTCAAATGCCCTGCTGTTTTCTTGAGCCATTGTCCAAAGGCTTTACCTGCAGCTCCAGTATTGTTGTTGTTGTTAGTCGCGAAGTCGTGTCCGACCCATCACAACCCCACGGACAACATTCCTCCAGGCCTTCCTGTCCTCCACCATCTCCCGGAGTCCACTTAAGCTCACACCAACTGCTTCAGTGACTCCATCCAGCCACCTCATCCTCTGCCGTCCCCTTCTTCTTTTGCCATCTATTGTTCGCAGCATTAGGCTCTTCTCCAGGGAGTCCTTCCTTCTCATTAGGTGGCCAAAGTATTTGAGTTCCATCTTCAGCATCTGGCCTTCTAAAGAGCAGTCAGGGTTGATCTCCTCTAGGACTGACCAGTTTGATCACCTTGCGGTCCAAGGGACTTGCAGGAGTCTCCTCCAGCACCACAGTTCAAAGGCCCCAATTCCTTGGCGCTCAGCCTTCCTTATGGTCCAGCTTTCACAGCCATACATTGCAACTGGGAAAACCATAGCCTTGACTATACGCACTTTTGTTGGCAGGGTGATGTCTCTGCTTTTTAGTATGCTGTCTAGATTTGCCATAGCTTTCCTGCCCAGGAGCAAGCGTCTTTTAATTTCTTGCCTGCAGTCCCTGTCTGCGGTGATCTTGGAGCCCAGGAAAATAAAATCTGTCACTACCTCCATTTCTTTCCCATCTATTTGCCAGGAAGTGAGAGTATCGGATGCCAGTATTATTATAGACTAAGAAATGTTACGTTCTGAGTTTGTAATGCGAAATCAGATGCCTTGCATTGACATTGATGTTTTCATTCTTTAGTGGCGCACATAGTTTTCTAAGCTATTCAACAGCAGCTCTCCTTATTGGAAAATTTAAAAAGAAGCATTTACTTCATTCATGAGTTTTCACTAACGGTTATCTTTGTCAGGGGTGCCTTTTGACAGTCTAGGGTACTCAAACAGTTAACTTTTGATTAGTATAAACGTTGCTATTTTTAATGCACCAAGGAAAATCACTATTCTGTGTTACAGTGTTGTCCTTTTCTTGTGCTTTTGAACACACAGGAATTGCGAAAGCCTAGTTATGCAGAGATCTGCCAGAGGACAACTAAGGACCCCCCTCCACTGCAGCCCCCTAAAGAACAGAAGCCAAACACTGTCAGCTGTGGGAAAGATGAGAAAAAGCCCACGGAAACACTAGAGAGAAGCAAAGAGCCCCCTCTTGTGAAATCGAATCCGGGGCAGCCCAAAGACCAGAGGAGACAGTCGGGACGCAGGTCACCACCTCCAGCCGCTGGGAAACGTCTATCTAAAGAACAGAGCAGCCCTCCCAAATCTCCTCAGTGAAAGTGCTTGGGAAGGAGGTTCAGAAAGTTCTCATTATGAAGTAAACCCATGTTGCCACTCAGAGTACAAAGAATGAGTTGCTGGTTAGGAGCTTGCAGTGGATATTAAGTTTATGAAATGCCTGCAAGTTTTTTGTTTGTTTGATTCTTTGTAAAATAGATTTCTTGCTCCCTCACCAAATTTCTCTTGAGCAAACAGTCTACTCTGTCAGGATTTAATTAATCTAAACCTTTCATTTAGGTTGGTGCTTAACTGGAGGTGATGCCTAAAATCCTTTTTTTCCCTAGATGGAAGATGCATTTATCTGAAAAATCATTTTTTATGAAATCTCCATGTGGCTGTGTGAATATAAGCTCTATCTAATGAGTTTTTTCCCTAATCTACTAAGCAGAATTGGGCTGCTGTAGTTTTTAAATAACTGGTCTGTAAGTACATATCTTGAAAAAAATTCCAGAAGACTAATAATAGCAGCTAATACTTGGAGTGCAAAGAAAGGTGTTTTATAAGACAGTAAGACAAGTTTGACTTTTTTTTTCTTTTTAAATTCTGGCTGCTGTAACACGTCAGCAAATGGATTATACTTTTTAAGTTGAAAGTTATGTTGAATTCTAATGTTTTAAAATTCAGCTGTTTTTGTTCTTGGCCAAATGTGAATTCATAAAGATCACCAGTGAAGCTGCTCTAAAATAATCATTTTGATGGTCTGCAAGCAAGTAACCAGCTTCTCAATCCAAAATAAAGTGGTTCCTTGAATTTCAGGAAAAGAAAAAGAAAAAAAAAAAGCACATTGTGAATAAAAAAAAATTAAATAAGCCCTTGTAAATGGCAGGAGCCAAGTAAAGGCTGTTTTTCACAAGATAGCACAATAGCACTCTTGTGATAAGGATCTCAATTTTTTTCCTCAGCCAGAAAATATTGCGTTTGAGTCACCACTGTCCTTTCTGATTTACCCCTGTGCTCTGTGTAGGTTTTTAAAACTATGCTCAAAGTGCTCTTTGAAAGAGTTCATATCTTAATCAGCTAAGTGCTGACACCTTTCTGTACCTACAAACATTGGCATATGGATTTAATTTTTTTCAGTCTGTGAGATAATGGCGTTTGTGTGTGCGAGTGTGTGTGTGCGTGCGCGCGCCTGTATGGTGAAGGAAGAGATCCCTGTTTCTGTCTGGGGTGAGGTTTGTCACACTTATCTACTTTAAAAGTGACATGCTTTCTGAAGGACAAGGATGCACTAAATTAACAAGTTTCTAATAAAGTTGAATATAAATTATTTTTGTTTTAAAATGCCTAAAGTTTTTCTTTGAGTGTTTAAGCAGCAGATGATTCAGATAAAAATGTGTTCCTGCTGAATACAGTTTATTCCACACAAAAAGGTTTATTTAAACAACTGATTTTTTAAAGAATAATTTCCATCCAATATTTAAAGACTTGAATTTTATTTAAACTTGAAAATGACTTTGCCTTAACTTTTGTATAAGACAGATTAGAGTTACTGAAGTCTGACCCTCAAGGGTTAGTGTGGGTGGCATATACAGAATTACTCAGTTACAGTATGTATGTATTGTCACAGGTCTTACTGGGTAGACATACTGTAGTACAGGTAGTAGCGGCAGTTTTTGTAATATACCTTAAAAGATCTTAAGCAGTTGATCTTTTTCAAAATGTTGAAAAATCTGTAAATGGAAATAGTCAATACTGTATTAAATATGTGCACTTGGAAGTGTGTGCTTTTGCTTGTACAGGTGTAAATAATCAGAACATATAAAAAGGTACCATTAAAAAACTGATAAAAATTATTGATATATTATAAATGTTGCTGTTGAGCTGGATGTAGATAAACTTAATGTTGTGGTTTGAATATTACTTTAATTTGTTTCTTTTCCTTGTTTCTTTTACGTTATTCTGATGTGCTGAGCTGATTCTGCCTCTTTACTGCAAAAGGGAATTGGAGAAAGTCTGTCTTAAAAGCCCTGACATTTTAAAAATTTTCAGAAAGTGTGCATTTCAACCAGTATAGCACATGGTTGTGCAATGTAACTTTCAACTTTGTCTTACAAACCACAGGTTTTTTTTTTTTTTTATGAATTGGAAAGAAGTAACTTTGCCACAGAAAAGTAGCCCCAAAGTTTACTCAACCACTCTTCTTAGGCCAAAATATTAGCAAGTACACATGTTTAGTTGAAGTTTTCACATAGCTCTAAAACACATAGGGCAGTTGATTTCCTAACATAGGTTGCTGCTATTTTAATTGTCCTTTAATAACAACAAAACAACCAAACAAAAACCAGCCTGCTTTTTGCACTGCAGAATTTAAAATAAGCAGGCTGGGCTCTGTTACTTCCTGAAAAGCCACACGTGGAGAGGATGTGGGAGGGGACGGGGACTCATGTAACACAGATTAAACCACCAAATGTACTTTTGTTGGATTTTCATGTATATCATTTACTCAGTGAGCAGTGAAAATGGCAGCTGGACTGGAGTATGGCTTAAGCCAGCTATGAGATTTCTTTGTTTGCCTGTTGAAAGTATGAGCAAACGGCTGCAAACGGAGTAGGAAGCAGCCACAGCAAGTGTACAGCTAATTATCACAGCCAACTGATATGTTCACATTAAGATATGTAGGCCAGCAGGTGGGTTGTATTTTGCTGCTGCTTGTACTAGGTTAATATAATACTCTATAATACCCAAACCCAAGTAACAGTCTGTGTAAAAAATGTTAAACTTTAATGGGTTTCTTTAAATGAAAGTGTCATGCCAAATAACTTTAATTTCCCATTCGGACAGCATGGAGTTGCTGGAACAAAAGTTGTCCTAAAGACTGTTTATGTATAGCCATGCAAATCTTGCTTTTTTTTTTTCTTTTTTCAACTCCCCTCCCAAATCTGAGTTGCAGCTTTAAACTGCAGGAACCAATTGCAGTTTGGTTTTTAAAAAAAAAACTTGCAAGATTACTGTTCATACAGAAATATAATCCAGAAATATAATTCAGGTTCTTCTGAAGCTGACCAAGGGATGTATTTAAACCTTAATTTTACTTCTGAAGACTTGACCTGTGCAAGAATTTTGCATTAGGGTGTCCCATCTCTCTCCACCCCAATTTTACAACCTGACATGGGAAAAAAAAAACATCATGCTCTATGTATATTTTTGCCCTTAATCATTTTGCTGCCTCTCATCTAAAGATACGCCAATTACTGATGGGTGGGTTGTAGTGGATTATAAAACAGCAACTGACTGCAAGGGTTCACACTAATTTTTGTATCCCCTTCAGCTAGCTGCAGTTCTTATGTGATGTGTAATCTATTACATTGATAGCAGCAGACAATCAAAGACATCTGCAGGCTAACAGCTGCCAAGTCAACAAAACAAGGTATTATATGGAGGCCTTTTTTCTGAGGGTGGTTTTTTGTTTTGTTTTGTTTTCTTCTTCCATTTAAGACTGGAATCAAGCTTACATGTAAACTATTTGGTAATTTAAGTTTTCTTTTGTGTCATAAAATGTACAACTGTCTAAAAATGTAGGTTATGAAAAATAAAGATTTAGGCACTGTTGAATTTCTCTTTTTTTAAATTAAACTTCTTACAACAGTACTTTTCACTTCCTTTGTCTTTGCGGCCACTTGTGTGTAATCTTAATGCTTCAGAGGCAGATAGCAAAAGTGCCTTTGCTGTGGCTATACTGTTTTGAGAGCAGGCGATACAATTCAAGAGCAGTAAATGCGGCTCCATTTTTTCCAAGGAATCAGATGTTTGATTAGCAAATTGCTTTCTAATGGCTAAACTTTTCTTGGGAGGTCTACCTGTGAATTAGGCAGATTGTAAGGGTTTGTTTTAAATAAAATTATGGAAGTAGAAACCTTATGGCTGTGGGTATCCCCTGTAGTATGGACTTAAGCTTTATAGTCAGTTTTTCTCACATTCTGATTTCTATCCAGAAAGGCTTCTGTGAAAGCAAGCAGTATCCCATGTTATGGATGCCTCTGATGGCTTTCCTTGGCCTGATACTTTTCAGATTTTTAATTTTATTTCTGTACTGCCCAAATGCCAAGGTGTGCTCAGTGGTACAGTTCATAAAATACAGTATATAAGTTACAGTAAAAACAAAAAATTTCACTAGAGATTTGAAACCAGATTGTAATGGATAGACAGCTAAGGGGATTCCTAGGAGTAAACCTGTCAGAGCAACTGGCATAGTTGCTTCTGTGCCCCTCAGTGTGACTCCGGGCGTGCTCCATGCTCTGACTCCTGGGGAAGACTTCACCTGGTGCAGAAACTGTAACGGGTGCCTGGTGAGCCACCAGAGCAAGATGGTTCCATAATCGGGGACAGGACTCCAGCTCTGCAAGGCTGAATCCTAGGAATGCTGGAGTTCATGGGCACTGGGGCTGTGATGATGAAATGTAGTTACTTTAACATGGTAGCTGGCAGGGAAAGGGGAGGGAATCAACGGGTGGAATTACCACTGAAGCATAAGCCATACTTCAGTCATTAACATGCAGTGATTTCCTCATAGAGCCCCATCATACTGATACCATCCCAACTTAGGCAGCCATCTTTATAACCTTGTTTGCTTTCATAGTCAAGATAGTGTATGGATCTGCAAGACTAGGCAGCTGTGCGGGAGGCCACAATTCCAAGAGTCCGTTTCACATCTGGCGTGTTGGCCAGTGCTGCTATTGCTGCAAGCATTAAACCATTCCCATGCAGTAAGCCCACAATACAGGGACGCAAGGAGTGCACGCACAGGAAGAAATTAGCCTTTAGTGACTTGGCCATTTGCCTTTTTGGTCATGCATTTTGTTTGGTTTACATAATGGACATAAATGTGAGTGTAGTGTTACTTCAGAGCCATGCAGAGCAACTTTAGATCCCCACTATCTTCTCTTGGATGTACGATTTCTCCCCTCCCCATATGATGAATAATTATCCACTGGGGGTGACTTGAGAAATCACTGAGCAGCTCCATTTGCCAATTATGTCTTTTTACTGGTTTTTTCACTTTCACATGGTATCAATAAAATACATCTGTACTAAAAGAATGTTACTACTTTATGTGAATATAGCTTCTTTTAAAAAAAAAAAAAAGTGTTCTGAAAGTAACCTTCCCACATTCAGTATGAATGTGCTTTTTGGTCCTGTGGAGAGTTCTAAACAGACCTATTTTTAGCAATACTTAACACGATGGAAGGAAGGATTGTGCTTATTAAATCAATATCATACCACATCACACATAACATTATTTGAGCATATTTTGTATTTCAGTTGAGAGAGAAAAATAGACAAATGTTGCTTTAAGATGTGATTTTAAGGCTTGTGGCTTGCTTGAAGCGGAAGAGCAAAATTGACAGGAGAAGCAGAGTGATTTGATGGCACGCGTTCATGAGGCAAACTGAAGCCATGATCACAAGGTAGAGGGAACTGCTCTTCTTGTAGATAAAATGCTGTGTCTTTCTTTACCCTTTCTCATCCTGGCCGTACAGATAGTCACCAAGACAACCAAGCATGTTTGTGGAAATCGCAAGGTCGGGCCCAGCGTCAGCGGAGACATGTAAAAGCAGTTTGTTTACTTTTCCACTTCTCGGAGGGGCGAGTACAAAATTTCAGACTCACAAGCTTTAATCTGTTATTTTTCACAGGCATGTAGGGAAAGAAACCCAGTGTGCTTTTCATGTAAAACCATATTTTATTACTCTTTCCTGACCTTAAAAATCCATCTTGAAAATAGAGCCTCAAAAGAGAGAGCAAATCCTGCGTGTTCCCGTGCTTAACAGCTTCACCTTTGCCCATTCGCAACATGCTTCCTGAATGGCTCACACAAATCCTGAAAGTGCTTCACCACATTGTCAGAAGGTGTCTGCTCTGTCAATAATGCCACAATTATTCCCCACCTTATTCTGTCATCTTTGGAGGTGGGATGGGAGGTGTTTTAGTAGGCATTTCATATGCAAAGTAATCGCTTTTTTCAAAGATTTTTTTTAAAGAAAGGAATAAACCATCAGAAATCTAGAGTGTGTCAGGAAACAGTTTTTATGGTAATAGGTTTGGCACCAAAACAGTTCTTCCCAAGCTGCACCCCAAAAGTGATACCAGAACATCTATTGTGCACATTTAAATATCACAAATGGGCTTGCAAACAAATGTCTTCACAAATGTTAAACAAATGTAATAGTGCTTAGGGTGTCAGCCAACCATGATTTCTTCCAGGATCTTAAAACCCAATCTTACTCAACCTGGTGCATTGGATTATAAATCTGAGCATCACCAGTTAGCATGGTGTTGGACAATGGATGTTGTAGTCCCAATATATATGGAAGGTGCCATTGTTATTAGGTGGAAGGAGGTGTTTAAAAGGTCCATGTTGAACTAAATAACATGGCTTCCACAAAGATATGGCCTGCCTTAGGTTTGTTGAGTGCAGCTAGGGAAGGCATTGTTTCCTTGACCTTGCAAAAAGCTTTTGACAAAGCCCCTCACTAAAACAGTCATGGAGGTCCTGTTATATATTAGTAACTGATTAAGGAACAGAAAGCAGATGATAAGAATAAATAGTAAATTTTTCCAAATGGGGTCTCACAAGGTTCCATTGTGGAACCAATGCTTTTCAACTGATTCATAAATGATTTGTAATTAGGAGTGAAGTGGACAAGCCTGCTGACACCAAATTATTTCAGGTGGTTGAAACAAAAAGAGCCTGCAAGCGGTTTATACTGCGGATCGCCAAAGGATCTCTCCAAACTGGAGAATGGGCATCAAGTTTTCAAACAAGCAAGCCTAAGCAAGAATCAACTGATGCAGACGGGGGTGGGGGGGGAATCCCAGCTGGCAGTGGCTGACCAAGAAAGAGAAGCATGTGTAGAATTCTGGTTGCTGCACCTAAAAACAGTTACTGCAGAAGCTGGAGAAAGTGCAGAAAGGTGCAAGAAAAATGATCAGGGGGCTGAAGCAACTCTCCTTAGAGGAAAGCTGCAGCATCTAGGATTGGTCAGCATACAACAGAATTGAGTAAGGGAAGGCATGATAGAGGTCTACAAAAATATGTATGAAAAAGTTGAGCCCTCTTTAACATCTATCATTCCCTTCTGTTTTTAAAACCCCTTTGGTGTCTCGCTCCAGAAGGTGGGGCACTGTGAAATCATGCTCATCTGCATTCTTCCCATTCTTCAACCAATTGAACCTTCCACTGGTGCTGGCACCTAGTGATCAGTGCCACCTCTCCAGGTAGAGGGACAACTATGTCCAACAAAATACTATAGGCTCTCTGAGCAATTTACAATAAAATGCATTAAACTATAATAATTGGCCCTGCCCCCACCAAATGGCCTTATGGCAAACCTGTGCTGAATGAGCACTAGATGGGTGGTGCCAAAAGGCATTGCCCAAGGATGCCGGCCTACATGCCACCCATTAAAGAAGAATGGCCAATGGAGAAAGCCCTGCTCCCAACTGGAAGGTTGACTCACCTTGGCTCTCTCACAATCTCCTCCTCTATTCCCCATTCCCCTGCTGTGATACATGTCCACCTCCAGCTCCACCTTCTCCCCATTGACTGGCAGATGTGGGCTCCCACCAGACCAAACTTTCAACCTCCTCCTCCTCACCATCTCCTCATTCCCATGGGAATCTGTCCACAGGTGGGTCACTGACATTCCTCACCTGTCTCTGCCCTTCCTGTCACTCCAACAACAGAATCTGCTGCCTGTGTTGCCTCCCAGCAATGAGGAGGGGCTTCTACATCTGACAGATTACTCAGCTCTTGGTGCCCACCCTGAACCCGCCTCCCATTCTCCCATTGGCAGATCGGAGCTCTCATCATCACCACCCCCACCCAGATGGGGCAGCAGTGCTTGAACTGCAGACATTCCATGACCTCAGATTGTCATTGACTGACATTCCAAAACTGCTTCACCTTCACTGTCTGCACTCCAATTCCCATCAAATCTTATCAACCAGCTGTGGCTCTTCTAGCCTCTTTTCCCTGTGTGTACACACAACAGCGTGCCAAACAGAACATTGATCTGGGCTGCTCTGGTGGCAAGAACCAGAACCACCACCTTAGTATTAGCAGGATTGGTCGCAGCCCTGCTGAAGCTCTCAGCCTCTTGATGAGTGCCAGCTGGGAGCCCTGCAAGAAGTGCTATATAAGAGCCAGTTCTTCCTCCAGAAGGCCTGCATTTTGCCTGATCCAGATCTTGGCTTACTGTCTCACCTCAGCAACATGGATTTTCTTGGTGCTGTGCTATGGCTCGGCTCCTACACCTTGCCTGCCCCTTGCTGAATGTGGTTCCAGTTGTCTTCTACCTTGATGTGTATCCTGTGAGCTATCTGCATCGTCTTCCTGGTCTTGACCCTTGGCTTCTCCATGACCTCATCCTTGTTCTGCTCCTGATACATGCTACTTATTCCTGACCTTGGACTGATCTGTGACTATGATTTGACTTGCCATGAAACCCTGCTTTTGGACCATGGACTCTCACCTCAGAGTTCTGTTCTGCTGGTGCCTCTGTCTTGTCTCCCATCACCCGTGTCCTGGCCCTGGACCCTGCCAGGTCGGGTAG